GAGTTTAGTGACGATTTTATCATCTAAAAAGCTTTCAATTTGAGTCTTTTAAGATTTCTTAAACAAATTTTTTGAGGTTATGTTCGAAAAAGACGCTCAAAAAGGCGGTTTTAAGTGAATTCTTGCAGAAATATCACACGGAATCAGAAGATATTCATCACAATTTGGGGATTAATGTGGAAAAAGACTACTGAAAGTGGTGTACAGATTTAAGGCACTCAATCTCCCCTTTATAATTCAGTTTAGATACATATCAAGTAACCGAAATGCTCCAAATAATTCGTAAGATATTCTGAATTAGAACTGAATTTCGTGGATTTACTCATAGATTAATGAAATCTGACTTTTGAACAAGAAGTTTCATTTATTTCTTTGAATGTTAAGTGTTTGAGTTCCAGGATTTCTGGATATTTAAATCCACGCTCAAGCTTTTTGATTGCATAACATGAAATGCTGTGATGGAAGTGCATTAATTTCAGTGCACTGTTTTTATATTGATGTCAAATAATTAAAAAGTTTAATACACGAAAGTAATCAATTTGCGGATTTCATTTGAAAATGAAATTTCAAAGCACAGCCTGCGGAATTGCAACGTGAGTTACTTAATTAAAGGAATACGTCAAAGCCTCAAAGGTCATTGGCATGTGCGATATTTTCCTCATTTTCCTCATTAAATAAGCTGAATACACTATCATGTTCAGCACGAGGCTGAAAACACATCCTTTTGCGGGTCTTTTTTTGCAGAGTTACGCATAGAGAAAAGCGGAACTTCTCCTGGGAAATCATGCTCAATGCAATGAGTGGTTTTTCTCAACATGCAGCGCGCCTCATCCAAGTATTAATGTGAATAAAGCAGAGGGAAAATCACGGGAAAATGTATGCAATCACGGCGTATTTCTGGCGAAGCTTTCTGCACACTCGCGTGCTTGAATGCCTTCGAAAATGAATACAACAATAATTTTTCATTTACAACTGCCGTGCTTAAAGCTCCGGCGTTCGCATGAATATTAAATTCCTGGCATTGGGAGAGGAAAAATCTTAGCATTTCAACTTATACACTCACCATTCTCTTCATGGCTCCATTCAGAAGCTCCTTTTCTCTCGCTCGCTCTCTCTTGTTGTTTATTTTCTGTCTATAAATTTCGCTAAAATATCATCATCCAACCACCCTCTGGTTGTTTTTCACGATGCTCAGCACGCTTTTTCATCCGCGACAGCGTTTGGGGTAATCTTTTATCGTTTTCTTGCGCGCTCTTTCCTTTCGCCGCGGAAAGACATCGCGAGTATCCAAGCCAACGAGATGAAATTTGCGTGATAAAGAGACCCTCAGCATGTCTCATTTGTTTATATTTTTATTTTATATAATAAATTTACATTTTTTTTTGTTAAGGATATTACATTCAACATAAATCTCATTGATAAACTATATTTTTCCTCTTGTTCTCTTCTTTTCTTTTTGTTGTGTGTGTGTGTCATCTCTTATACAAGTTATAATCGTCTTTTTTTTGGTGGAATTTTTCCCTTCAATACATTTATTTTTTTTCTTCCTCATTTCTCATTTAATTAGTGGATGGTTTGATAAGATTCTTTAAGCTATACTCATCATATATATTTTTTTCCTTGGAAAAATTGAGTGACAATCTTCGGGGTGTGTCTTTTCCAAATATATATATATTTATATTTCATATACTCAATTAGCCAATTTTCGTCCTTAGACCTAAACATTCTCATAAGATTTACCAATTAAATCGTTTCTCCATGTGTTTTTCTTTTTCTTCTTTTCTCCTCGATTGAGAATGTTATCTTGTTCTCCATTTATTCCATTATTTGGTTACATTTAGCACCGTTTATTGTGTCGTCTTGTAAATTTGTCATAAATTTAATTTGGCCTTTTAATGTGATTTACCTACATGGGATATTGGAGTTGAGACAGAGACAGAGAGAGAGAGAGAGAGAGAGTTGAGAGGAAAGTTCAGGATGAAGTCTTCTCGGAGGTCCTTAATTTAGCCTAAAGCTCCAATATGTACAGAAGAATGCGGGTCACGACGAGTGCTAGGAAAGTTGTGAAATTAACAAGTGTCAGGATTTCCAGTTGCCTTTGCGCACATTTCGATTGGATCGAAGGACGAACTTCGTCTCTAAGTGTTTTCGATGGTTTTGCGTTGATAGAAAAACTTCTAAATAAATATCAAGGGAGAGATAATATGGTGAGAAGTGGTGTACAGATCAGTAGAAAAACTTAATAATTGGAAATGATTCAGTTTATGCAATATTTGGTTCATAACTTTGATTTTCTTTTGATTATTTTCCTCCCAGAAATTAATTTCTATCCAACTTCTGATTTTGTCATATTTTTCTAGGTTATGTGATTGATTCAAAACTAAGTGAAAATTTTTAAGTTGAAATTCCGGTGCTTGAACTGAAAGTGTGTCCAAGAATTGCATATTTTTACACAATGAAAATTAAGAAACGATGATAAAATCAAACATAACCTCAATTTTTTTTACCAAAAATCTGCAATTTTCAGTTAGAAAAATTCTAGTCAATATTTCTAAAGAATATTTGATCTAATTTTAAGGATTATGATCAAGAAAAATTCTCTGAAGTGACATTTTAGCTGAAGAAAATCATGAAATATTATATGAAAACGTTAGTTTTATAGTTTTCAGTTAGTAAATAGTTAGCAAATAGTAATTTTGTCAAAGAGTTCTGAGAAGTGTTAAGGATTCTTCATATGCAATTGTGAATCAATTCATTTCAATGCCATCATTTTGACATGTATTTTCTAGGTTATGTGACTTATTCGGGCGGAAATGAAGATTTAATTAGAAAATCTTGGACTGATAGTGAAATTATTTTTATTTCTTAGTAGAAATTGCAAAAAAGCTAAAGATTAAAGAACAGTGAAAAAAAAACATTAAACTTAGCCTTAAAATTTTACTTTATAATATCAAATTTGGTGCTAGAAAGATTCTAATTAAGAATATATTATTTAGAAGTGCAATTAAAAGCAGAAAATCATTAAAATTCTATGAAAATTGGCGAGAAATGTATGAAATTCAGAGGTTCAAAGTTGTCAGTTAGTTACTTGTTAGTCGTTGTGAAGTCGTTAGGAAGTTGTTTAGAGATTTCGGCCATATTATCTTCCCCTTGACTTATACAACCGATGCATTGCAGTGTAATGCGTGGCAACTGGATAGCGCGAATGTCAGGGTTGAAGAGAGATGTTTCGGAACATTTTCATCCGCAAAATTGTTGATTTCATTGGTAAGCAAGGGAAGATGTGCGATTCGCGGAAATCAATTTAACACTTCCAATATTCCTTCCCTGTGCTCGGATATTTGCTACAACAATGAGGTACAATATAGCAGAAATACAGCCTGACCTTAAAATGTCGCTCTCATTACAATTTCCATAGAACCTACTTTACTGTCTCTTCGTTCCCTTTAATTTTTCTTATCTTACAACGAATATTAATATTTACGTCTTTTTCACTTTGATAGATAAGTATTGAATGAAAATATAAGAAAAATTGGTTGTTATCGATCGTGTATTTTTCTTTTCTTCACTGTTTAAAAACAACTAGGCAACATTTTATCCCATTTTTTTTGACATAATCATCATCAATATACATTTACGAATACATGTTTTCTATTTCATAGTAAATTTTCTTAAACACTTTTTTCTTTCTTAATTCCTTACATTACGAGTTAATCCGTTTGATTTGTGGTTATGACGTTTGCTGCTTAATTACACAATGACTTTTGGTTGTTTTTTGATAGGCCAGTAAACAGAAGAGGAACCACACTTTTGTGACAATTCTTGTGACATCTTTTAAGATTAAGGTGAATATCGATTTACGGGACAATGAGAAATGTTAACGACTTCTTTCTTTTTCTAAAATCTCTCGGTTTTTTTTTGCCACCTATATTTATACACAAATTTCTATATATATATATATATAATATAATTCTCCACTTATTGTTTGGCATCTAAAGTCTTCCATTCTATACATAATTGTAATTTATTTTCACTGTCATTTACATATACAATTTCCTTATAAAAAACTGCTAAAAAATTATACGTCACATTTTAAATGTTACTTCTTCCTCTTTATGCCTTACTTTTTCTCTCTCTTAACTCTACTACAACGTTCAATTCTTCAATATACACATTGTTTCCACGGGTTTATTTTTCTGTGCTCTTATCATTTAGAAGAAAATTCGTAAGCATATTGAACACAAGAGGTTCTGTTGCAAATATTCTCTGGGAGTTGGCAACAAAGTGGGAAAATGTCGATGAAATCTCGAGTTCTGTGTGTGTGAAAACTTATATAGATTCGGCGACTGTGACGCAAAGTGAGGTGAATTTCGAGAAAACAAAAGAAAGGAAGAAAGTCTTTTCATAGAAAGTCAAGTCACTAAAATAAAGCTGAAATTCACCTTACAAAATTGTGCCAACCACAATTTTTCTCATATCTTTATGCATTCCAACCGACGTTGAGGGCGAAATGTGGAAAGAAGTATTTTGTTTGTGGAAATTCCTTATGCTTCAGAGGACAAATATAGTGTGTGAAAATTGAGCAAAGCATGGAATTCTTCATGGGTAAATTCTTCAAGGGCGAAAAACTCTCCCAAACATGTTAACAATTACTAATTCTTCACTTTGGAGTCACTGATATAGTTTCTGATAAGGGACAAATAATTGTGTCGATCACGGTTCGTGTAAATCAACGCTCTTAATTTAACTTAGGCGTCTTCAAGGGGCAGATATTTGCAATCGGAAGTGGTGTACAGCTTTTGAGGAAGTATTTGGAAATTAAATGTGGTAAATTATTTGGAATATTTCCATAATAGCTTCAATTTCAACAAATTCAGGCATTTTCTATGTAATTTTGTTGCTTTTCTAGGTTATGTGATTGATTTAAAACAGATTTTGTCGATTTAATAACTCTCAAAGTAATTAAATTTGAGGTTAAGCGAGGTTTGTTTCACTTTTTCCTTTTTCAAATTAAATTAAAAATGCCTCTAAAGACGTTCAGAAGTGTCTCTGAAGTGTTGAAGATTCTGTGCAGAGGAATTGTGGAAGTGTCAGGAAGTCTTGGTGTACAGTTTTCAGGCATATTATCTCCCCCTTGGGCGTGTCTTAATACTGGAAAATTGATAGTTGAAACCATCGTTTAAAGTATGTAAAAGTATCAAAAATGATGGAAGTAAATTGCAAATGTTTATGCAAGTGTCAATCATTAACCGCGAAAGACACTTATTTACCTCTCAATTTCCCACGTGTCGTGAGTGTGTCCTTAGTCGTCTTGTAGTAGATAAATAGTAGCGATAGTTAGTACATTATGGTAGATACAGGGATAGGTAGTAAGAGTATTAATGCATAATATATACGATTCCTTTTTTTTTTGCTTTCAAAGTAGACAGGGTAAATTTCCTATGTTTTTCCACTTCAGCGAATCTTTTTTTTTCTCTCTGTTTTCACTCTCGTTAAGCTCATGCCGTGGCATGAAATATACACAAAGTATCTTATATCTGTGCGAAGTGTGTGTGTGTGTCTAAGAAAACGGCGAGGGTTGGAATTTATATTGGCGCGGGAGTCTGTACAAGTTGCCAGGCGATGTAGGCCGGTAGCGCGAGGAGCACGGCGAACGGACGGGGGCAACAGTTGGCGGAACCAAAAACGGGAAAATGGATTTCTTCCGGCTCGCTGAGCTCCTCATCATCGCCGTCATCCACGGAGTTGGACATTGTTTTGTGCTTCAGCGTGAAATTCACGTTGAAAATCGCCTCCGCCACGCCACCTGGCGACGACACCACGAAGTAGAAGGTCCTGGGGACGCGCTCATGCATGTGCACGTACGTGAGCCTGGCCTCCTTGCAGAACGGCGTCGACACATCCTGCAATTGGGGGTGGCGAGAGATTTGGGGGGTTGTTGAGTTAGTGCCACTCACTTGAGCGCCAAAATCAATATCAATATAAGCAGGACGTCAGTGCATTTACACACGCCACATAATGTTTTCCGGCAATTCCATGCCAAACAAGCAACCGCATTTATCAATATGGGGATGATAAGGATGCTGTTGAGATGGGTAAACTTGCTAGGATAGCAGATAAGGAGCGTGTTAATTTGCTCAAACATTGGCTGAGGAGTTTTGAGGATAAACAAGACGAGGAGTGAAATACTCACGATAACGCCGTACGCAAGCACATCAATTCCGTATTGATTGCCTGGCGTGTAGACTCGGTCGCCGTGGAGCCATCTGGCGGCAAAAGCGGGTGGATTGGCACAGAATTCCACCGAAAGATGGAGCGGCGATCCGGGATAGGCCACAGGCGTTGCGTTCCGCGCCACTGCCGTTGGAGGACCTGCAAAGAGAGCGATTATTAGGGATTTCAATTAGAAATAGCGCCCCTGGCGGTGGTTACAGGAACGTCATAGTCATTCAGGAAAGTTGGAGCATTCCAAGTGAGAAATCCAAGTAACTCTATTGACTAGGAGTAAGTGTTGTTCCTGTGTTGAAAATGCCTTTCATTGGGTATTAAAACTCATGGCTTTTCATCAAAAGGAGATTGAAAATATGATGTAAACATTACAACTCTGCCCCACTGTGGGGCAGTGTTAGTATGCACTTTTATTTACCACAAATTACAGCGTGGAATTGTTGAATCGCAGGCAAATGTTCACTTCGGTGTCTTCTTTATACAATAAGACTGTTTAATCCCTTAAAAATCCTTGAAAAGCGAGTTTCCTGCCATGTTTCGCGTATTGCAACTCGAAATTTCTCTTCTAATCAGTGATTTTTATAGTTTTTCCTCCTTTTTTTTAACGTAGAAGTCGATAAACGTGCGATCAAACAATACAAGCGAAGCAAAAGTGAGATTATGTCAGACTGTCAAGTGGAAACTATGCCCCGTGGGCGATGTTTGTATATTTTCCACCACCCACTGAATAAGTCGTGTCCAGGAGGAAAAGCTCGTGCATATTTAGAATTTCTACTTAACCCTCAAAAGCCTGTAATAGTGAAAAAAATTACACTATCAATTCAGGAACAAAATTTTCGTTTTCGGCTTATTTGTGCAATTTTTCGTCAATTGTAGACTCTCAAACATATACTGTTATTCATGTGAAAATCCATGAGGATATTCCAAAAAAACAAAACTGCCCCATTTCCCCCTACAATCGTGAATTTTCTGGTACTTTGACTGCTACATTGGGAATTTTAATTGATGTTGTAAGGCATCCGTGATGCCAAGGATTAATTGCCATGACATTTCTGCAATAAATCAAAGTCCAGAGACTTTGTGCTGCAGACATCAATGTAACACACTCCCCTGGGTGATGGGAAAAAAAGGGACGACAGAGACCCTTAAAAAGTATTTTGTGCGGATTTTTGATGGGGTGGGCAATTTTGGGCGACAATCACTGTGTCACAAAACGTGTCACCAGTGCTAATAATCGTGCAGTCCTTTATGAAATTGCACAAGCGACAGTTGTTCTTTCATCAAACCCCCTTTTTAACCCACTTTAAATTGCTACAAAACACAAACACAGACACACACAGGCATAAATGCAATGAATGTACATATTTTTGTGAAAAACAGAACGCATTTAATTGTACATATTGAAGCATTGTTTATATTGATTGCACTCTGGAGTAAGAAAGTTTGCCAATATCAGTGGTAAACACAGTGCTGATAAATATTTCCCTTTTGGCGAAAGAATCCCCAATCCGAATGGCGATGGTGTCCTCACCCCCTTCTTTGCCAATAATATTTCCCAGACGGATTGAAAAGTTGCGAGAGATGAAGAAAGTTGTTTCGCCAGTGGAAAACTTTCGAATGCTGTTGAACAATATATTGGGAGAATTTAGAGAAAGGACAAACACTGGGCCATGAAATCGATATCGTCTCCTCACGCTGTCCTGCACAGTTTATTGTGATGTGTGTGATGCTTTCTGGAGAAAATTCACTTTGGCTCACCCATTTTCCCGCCCGTGATTGAATCCCCGCATGACATCATCCCTCTCGGTGGAGTCACTTGGGCGACATGCAATTGATATCGGTGCGCCTTCTCCCTGATGCAATTCTGTGGCTTTGGCGATTGTCAAATCACAAGCATCATATTTTGGGTGATGAAGAGAGAGACAATCCGATCGATGGTGAAGTTAACAATGGCGTCGTATACAGGATGATTACAAATAGGATAAAATAGAGGACAAAATCGGCCAATATAGTGCTCTTGATGATGTCCATCGTTATCGCTGCACCATATTTCATCCAGCACTATCGCCATTTATGCTGGGCAACATAGCACACTCTCTCTCTCTCGCTCTCTCTCTCTTCGTCCAGGAGATAAATCATTGAACGGCATCTGGCGCCGACGACACGTGTTGTTATCAGTTCTTTTGATATTTTTCATTGTTCACCGCGTCCCGACAAGGAGGGAGACTTCATTATTAATCGCTTGCCATCTGTAAAATCCATACGGTCACGTGTTACACTGGGAGATCCTAAGCTGATTACCATCTTCACTCCTGCGACCGAAATCTCTTCCTGGCGACGCCGCAAATTTCACACCGACAATTTGCTTATAGCAAAATCTCCCAGCAATTAATTACACAATGTAGCAAAATACATCTCAGTGACTATTTTATAAGATTATCGATCGTTTTAGGAGAATTTTGAATTTATTTTGTGACTTTATGGACATTTTGCCGAACAAAACCTAAAAATCAACACTAAAAAGCGGGTAAGAATTACTCAAAAGATTTAAAACTATACAAATTCTACATTTTCAACAGTCTAAATGAAAGATTTATACTCAAAAATTTGATGAAAAGATTCTTAAAATTGACATTATTTAAACTTGAACATTATTTTTTCAGGTTATGTTTGATTTTCGTTCAATTTGGACCATTTCTTATTAGCAAAAAATCAAGATTGTGATTTTTACTGGATGTTCTTGGAGGTTATCCACTTCTTAAGTATACTTTTTCTTAATCGTACACCACTTTTGACTATTATATTTCCATCTTTGTGCTGAAAAATCACTTTTTGAGCTCAATAGTCAGCAAATAATGACGAAAAACCATTAAAAATGTCCTGAAATGGATAGAAATTCACTTTCTTTTATCATCTACCGAATAAACTCGATTCACACAATGACAAACCCTCATAAAGTGCATCATGTCAACTCAATGCACACCTAATTGGTCCTATATTATGCCGTCCGTGCATAGATAAATCACTAGTAATCCGTAATCAATTGCTTTCCAGCGAGCGCAACATAACTGGAAACATGATAGCGCTGACAGATGAAAAGCGCGACTTTAGCCTGAAACCCAGCTTTGCGGTATCTTTTGAGCGATGCAATTATAGTGTCGCGATTCGCTGCACCCCTTTGATGAACTCCACTTGTTCGCGACACGCGACGCCATTGAATACCACAGCACAATATTGTAATCTATCAGATTATGCCCGTCGCAAACAAATATTGCACTATATATCGTGCGATATATCGCCATCATCGGCGTTTCATTAGGGGTTGCCGTCATTTTTGCCGCAACCCCCGCGGTCATACTGTAATTATGATAATCCACACGAATGCCAAGGGTGGACGCATTAAATGAGCATAATTTGTTGTAAATTGCAAAGTCATTTGACAACGAGCAATTTTATATACTGGAACAAAATCATTCCGCTGGGATTAGATTATATTAAAATGGGCCTAAAATGTAGGCGATTTCATGTAATTCTGATACAGTTTATGCTGGACATGATTAGTGAGTTGATTTAAGCGCCAAAAATCCATAATTAAGCAATCATTCAACACTATCAAAAGAGTGATTTGGAAATTGACCAAATTGTGGGAATAATTTTGATGTTGGAATTGATTTTATAATCCATTTCAAGCACTAACACAACGAGTTAAAGATCCTTTCAAAGGAGATTTATTTTCACATCTTTGTTCTTGCATTTCTTGGAAAATTCACAAGGATTTTTTCTCATCAAAAATTATGGAATAAAACCATAACACAAGCGAGCAATGATAAAGGAATAAATAATCAATGAAATACAAATTCATCGTCTGTTCTGAATTTGATGAAATGCTTGTTGATGATTCAAATCAAAGGTGAATTTATAATTCAAATTATGATTGGCTATTTGATTTTGCTCACTTTGTATTCAATTTTCCTGTGATTTCTCGTTTTATGTGCACGAATATCATGAATAATTGTGAGAAATGATTGCAAATTGTCAAGTCAGTGATCAATCGATGGTGTTTTGTATTGAATCTCGAGGGAAATTTGAAGCAATTTCTGGGAAATTCGTGAAAATGCTTGCATGACAGTGAGTGGTGAAGAATATAAAACGCGATGAAGGAGTAATTTGTGAAGAAAACCGAACTTTCTGCCCTTAATAATAATTCAAAAGTGGAAAATGCAGTAGAAATTGACAAGACAATTGACGTTTCACGATGGAAAATCGTGTAAATAATGCAAAACAGAGGAAAGTGTAAAGTTATCCACAATTTGTTCATCAATTCTGCCAGTCAATATGCCTCGAAGGGACACCAAATTGACCACAAATAAAATTTTATTGCTGATCCTGTGTTGACTGAATGCATCATATACAATGTATGTGATTTCAATAAATTCAGTAAGTAAAAAAAAAACCAATAATTGACACTCAAACTGCTCAATTATTTGCCTTCCGGGAATGAATTTCAATTAATGTTGTTTCATTTTCCCCCAATTAATGTGAGGCGGAATGGGAAAAGTTTGCAATCCATCACGGGTGAATTTCCATTCACTCCGCATCGGGATTTACTTATGCGCCGGCGAGAAGGATGGATTCGGACCACCTGAGCGACCATTCATGGATGCAGAATGGTGTTTACGGAACTCATGCTTGATTAATGCTTAACCTCGACAGCTTCACCGCCGAGCAAATGGATTTGCCACGTCGGGAATGGGAATTGTCGCTGTCCCCAGATGATGCTTTGATTTTACACGAAAGCCCGGAAGCTTAATACGTCCCTCAGGATTCATTATCACACGTCGCTCTCGAGTGGTCAGCGCTCGACCAGTTGAGCGCCGCGAAGCAGGATTGATTGAAGTGTCCTTTGATTTTTCGCACATCACAGAGCGTGATAAAAGCGTATTTTAGCTGGATGACAGAGCCAAGGGGGAGATATTATGGCTTCTAAGGGGCATTTTATGAGTTATTTTGCTTAGAAATCCTCAAAATTATCAAATTTGTGATTAATCTGGGAGTTTTTCACATTTTCTTCACAAAGTTGAGTATTAATCTTTGAAAAAAAAACTCTAAACTAATTCATAAATAGCTTAAAAGTCAATCATAAC